TGTTAGATGGCGATCGAGCAATTATGGTTCGAAATAAGGTTTTCACGGTTACTTCATAAGAATCTAATCATTTAATTTTAAATACAAGATTTCACGTGCGTCGTAATGAAAATTTTACGTGTTATGTAACAACAAGACAAACAATAGCAACGTAATTCTAAGAAGGTCACATCTAATTTTTCTGTAGAATTATAATTCTCAGGATCTAAGCAAAGCAACGATGGTATCAATTCGTATTTTGGATGAGGAAACATTTGCGCTCCGATTACCGCATGCCGAATCGTTCATTTGGAAACAATCAGAAAATGTGAATGATGTTATTTTACCTATATATTCGGGTAATAGATCCTTTTGATAATAGTGTATTTAATACTAAGATTGATAAAACAGTTACAAAATTGAGCAGCAAATCGATAAACCAAAATAGAATCTTTTTTTGTTTCAAATAATCGCAGATAATCTATTTAATTTTTACCTGTGAAATTTAATCAACCTTTAATTATGAATTCATTAATTCATTGCTATTTTTCTTGTTTTTTACGAAATTTTATATTTTTATAATTTTTTTTGTCAAAAAATTGAATGTATTCAATATTGAAAATTTAACTTTATCATAAGCTTTATTTTAATTAAACAAATATGCTTAATTATCTTGTTCTTTAATAGGTCGTAATTTGTCAACTTTAATGCATGATCGGAATCCTCCAATAGATTTAGCAAAGATATATCGTACTCCGGAACGTGTCATATTTGGTATAATACCATTGACACCAAATGTAACCGATATTATGGAAGCATTACGTTATTGGAGTGAAACTAATGATGAGAGACAATTTCATCTATTACTTTATTATCATCCAGAATTGGTTTGTAATTTTTATTTTGATTTATAATATTATTTAATATATTATATTATTATGTTACTAAACGTAATAAAACATTATTGTTTTAATGTTTGAAGAAAAATGCTACCATTAATGGACAAACACTGTTGATGTTAGCTGTTGATCTGGGCCTTTGGTCAGCTGTAATCTTATTACTATGTATTGGTGCCGAAAAAAATGTTACTGATCCGGAAGGTAATTGTCTCTATCATATTGCTGCTAAACGGTAAGTAAATTTAATTTTCATTATTTTACTGCATTGGTAAAATAAATATGTTTTGAAAAGGTTTCTTTAATATCTTCATATTTTTAAAAGTGATTAAAATTTTTCAAAACATTACGCATTTTATTATTTATTTATGATTTAGAAAATTTCGAACTTTTTTAGAATAAATTTTTATCCTAAAAATTTAGAGTGTTTTTTCTATTAATATTTTATAGAGGTCATAAGCAAATTATCGAAGGTTTATTGATATTTTCACCTGATGATATCAATTGGCAAAATTTTAAAGGTGAAACAGCTCTACATTGTTCCATTTTGAATGGTCATTTATCTTGCATTGATCGACTTTTAAATGCACCCACAATTGATCCAAATATACAGGTAACTAAGATACAGGTATTTCTCATATCTATTAAATATTAAGTTTAAAACTTTTAATCAAAAATAAATATTTGTTTGTTTATTTTATGTAACAAAATTTTCCTTTGCTAAAATCTTTCATATTTTAAAAATTAATTAATTTGCTATTGTTTTAATATTTTCTTCATTTTTTTAAAACTTATTCATAGAATACTGAAGAAATATTTTATATAAGGTGGAAAATTTTCATCATTTATTGTCAAATGTTAAAATTGACCAATTGAAAACAATCGGAGTTACTAGGGAAACTTACTAATTCTTATCAATCTTTGATAACTATCAAAGTTAGTTGGAAAACTTACTAGTTCTTATCAATCTTTGATAACAATCAAAGTTAGGTTGGAAAACTTACTATTTCTTATCAATCTTTGATAACAATCAAGTTAGTTGGAAAACTTACTAATTCTCACCAATCATATTTTATTAAAAGTTAATTAAGATGAAATTAAGTTTGTAATGATATTTATCATTGAAATGAAATATTAGAAAAAAGAAACCGTAATAAGAAGGAAGAAAAATATTAAGGATAATGATGGTAATACACCGCTTCATTTATTATCTGCAATGGAAGATATATCAATTCGTGGAGCAATACTTCATCGTTTATTATCAAATGTTAAAATTGATCAATTGATAATGAATAATGATGGTTTAACTGCGCTACAACTTGCCATTATTGCTAATCAACATGGGTGAAAATTTGTTGATTTAATAATTTATAAGTTTTAATTTTATAATTTATAAGTTTTATAATTTAAGTTTATAATTTATAAGTTTATAAGTATAAGTTTTAATAATTTTATAATTTATAAGAAAAATTTATAAGTTCTTATCAATAATTATTTCTATCAAGAGTTAATTAGAATCAAAATTAACTTTGTAATGATATTTATTATTGAATTGAAATATGTTAGAAAGAAAAACATTATTAAAGGAAATAATTATTTCCATTTTTTAAATTAGAGTTAACTCAAATTTTAACTTTTTCCTATCAATTAATTTAGAATATTTCATTATCATATAGTATTATAATAAGGTTAATTTTAATTTAGTAATAATCTATTATAGAGTTGTGGAATCGATGATACGTATGAAACCAACACTTCTTCTATCAGATGGTTGTTATTCGTTGTTACCATTACATCTTGCTGCTGCATATGGTCATATTAATGTCTTAGAAATTATTCTTAAAGTAAAGATGAAATTTGACTTTTGTTTTGAAAAATTAATATTTTGAAATTTTATTTTCATTAAATTTTTGTCGTTTAAAAAAAAATGCAAAAAAAGAAAATAAAGAAAATGAAGATATAACTGATAATTAAAGATTATAATTAAAGTTGGAATTCAATGAAAATATAAACTGATAATTAGAGATTACAATTAAAGTTGAATTCATTATTAATTTTAATTGTTTTTCAAAAACAAAATTTTATTTTCAGTATTCTTCGGATGTAAATAAAACAACAAAAGCCAGTCGAACAGCATTACATTTTGCGGTAGAACGTTGGAATGGTAATGCTAATAAAGATATGCAACGTCTTTCCTGTATTCAAGTAATTATTCATTAAGCATTTCTTTTTTCAAAATTATAAAAGTGTAGATTAATTTTCATAGCAATATTTTATTGATATGTAGAGATGGAGTAATATAATAATTTTTGTTAAATATTTAATAAGAAAAAATAAAATGAAATTTAATTGATTGTTAATATGAGGCCGAAAAAAAGACAATGAATAATTAAAATAATTAAAAATGAATAATAAAAAATTGAATAATTAAAATATATTTTCAAATTTTGCAATAAAGTTAATTAATTTGTAATTTTAATTTGTAATTTTAATATATAATTTAAGTTAAAATTTTAAGAGACATATAACAGAACTTGTAAGTGAAATATAACAATAATAATGAAATAATAATAATTAAAATTTTCCGGTTATTTTTTCAGTTAATTTCTTTCTATTACTTCCAGTTACTCGTATCCTTTGGTATACCGTTAAATACACGAGATTGTGATGGTATGACAGCGTTACATTTAGCAGCTCAAGCAACGCAAGGTTTAGCTCCAATAAGTGATAACAAAATGCAAATTGTATTACAGATGAAGAAATCAAATATGGTACTTAATTTATTAATTCAAATTATTAGACCTAAAAAAATGTTAAATGATTGATTTAAAAGAAAGATCCGGTGATATTATTTATTATCAAAATTTTTTTTGAATAACCAATAAAAATTAAATCCGAAATATATTTTGGCATTATACATTAATATATTAACTTAATATACTTTATATATTAACTTTATAATTTTAAATTATATATATTAATTTCTTTTGAAATTTTTGTTTTAAAAAATGAAATAAAATTTTTCTTTCTTAGCGTTTGGAAGAACTTGCATCAGCATTTCGTCCACAATGGCCTGTTGCGGTAATGTGCTTTCTAATAGCGCAAGGAGCAGATCCACAAATTCGTGATCGTTCCGGATATGTTCCATTTGAATTAGTTACCGAACCAACCCTTAAATCGTTATTTGAACAGTATGTTGCTTGTAGACCGAGGTTAGTTGATAATAGTAACAATAATAATTATTATTATTATAGTATTGGTCAAATTTAATGAAATTAAGGTATAATATAAAGTTGTAGTATTTTTTACATCGAAATTTAATTTAAATTTTAATTTCTTTTTGTTTTATTTTTTCAATTTTTTAGGAACATTTTCGTTTATTTTTTCTAAATAAAAAATTCGAGCAATTATATTTTAGATTTTATTAAATATTAAATTTCAGAAATACAAAAAAAAAGGATAGTTATTAAACTATAATCAAATACTATGCCAAAAAATAAATTATTGAAAAATATAATTAATAATTAAAAGACAAACGTAACAATGATTAAGTTGATAAGATATTAGAACAATTGATAAATCAATGAAAGATATGAAAAGAATTTTGCTTATCAGTATAAGGAAAAGAAACGAAGAAAAGAAATAGGAAAAGATTTCAAAATTTAAAATTTCACACTCTTAATTAATTAGGAATGCAAAGAGATCTAAATAGCTGAAATTTCAAATCTAATCAAACTTTTAAAATAAAAATTCTTATCAAATAATTTACATGTATTAATTTGGTTTTTCTTTTGTTCATTAGTACAAATTTATTAATTCTCAATTTAAATTTCAGATCATGCGTTCCAATGAGTCGTACGATAGCGCGAAGTTTTGATACCACTGGTGTAACAATGTGTACCTTTAATTGTGATGATAATGTAGCAGATATTGTTTTCATTCCTTGTGGTCATCGAGTGGTTTGTGCTAAATGTGCTGGTAGCACCTTACTTAGACGTTGTCCATTATGTTATCAGCAAATTGTTGTCGCGAAAAATTCATGTATAATTCATATTAACTAATTTTTTTTCAAACTTAAATATTATAGATATTATTATTATTATTAGGTTGAAAAAAGCGACTAGAGCAGTTTTTATGATAATCATAAGAAAATTATCAAAACCATTGCTATCTATTAAAAATTATAAATTCATGTAAAAATTTATTATTAAACTAATTGATATACTAATTAATTATTGTTGCTATTTATATACTTTTTTATCAATTTTATTTGTTTATACTCTTCATATTACTTAATTATAGCAAAATATTAATTGGATCAATGATTAATTAGACATTACAAAACAGATGAAGACAAAGTGTTAGGAAGATTTTGTGCACATTTTAGACAGCTAAATATGATAAGTTTAATCCAATGATAAATATGCTAGATGGTGAAAAGGTTGAAATTGGTGGTAAAATTATACGATACAAAGAATGTGGTGATAGCGAATTGGGAGAAAATGTTAAAATGATTGATGAAGCTGAAATTGAAAAAATTGCGCAAGAAGCTGTTGAACGTGTTAAAAAAGCTGTTGAAGAAGGTAAGTAATTTTTATCTGTTTTATTTATATTTGTTTATTTTTAAATATATATTATAAATTAATGAGCTTTAAGTTAATTGCAATACCAGCGTGTATCGGGGCTTTAGATTGACTTGTTGAAAATTAATTAGATATAAGTTAGTTATAATTGACTTTAAACGAAACTCAGTTTGAAATATTATCATCCCCCTTTATTTTTAAAAGACAAATGTATGAATTCATTTTGACGAGAAAGTTTAAACATTACTCTTCAAAGTTTGTCTTCTCAAAAAAAAAGACCGGTGACAGTAAAAAAAACGATGGAATGGATAAATTAAATAAATATATGAATCATTTATGTCATCATTTTAAATCAACATTATTGATGATTTTTTGCACTTTTGTAAATTTATTATCCTTTCATTTTTTGTTATAGAGAAAAATGAAATAGTGCGTGAATTACGTGATAAATTAGAACAATTAGAGTTGGAAGTTACGTGCGCAATATGCATGGATCAACGTTGCAGTATTGTATTTCAATGTGGGCATACAGCATGCGTGAAATGTAGCAATCCGTCAAAATTAAAATTATGTCATATTTGTCGACAAACTATCAAACGACGTACAACAATTTATACGTGAAATATATTTCGGATAAAAATAATGAAATTAGTAAAAATGTTAAGAAATTATAAAAATTTGGAAGTGAAAGAACTGTGATATCTGAAATGTATGCATTTCTAACTTGCATAATTGTATTTACATAAATTATTAAATTATTTATCATGATAATAGTTGCAACTCCATAATTATTTATCATGATAATAGTGCAACTCCATAATAGTTGATTTGATTTTAAATTATAAATTGAGTTTTACAAAAATTTGAATTTACTAATTTAAACTTTTTAAACTAAATAATAATTAATTTTAATCTCAAAATGGAACAGTTATAGTTATAGACACATTAAATATAAGATTTATTATTACAGTGATAAATAATTAAGTTGAAATTATTTTATTTTTGAATTATCTACCTAATTCTCCTGCAAATGATTGATATTGAATGCCGCTAGGGATTAATTAGTATTAAATTTAATAAGTTCTACTTGTACAGATTATTAGAAAGTGACTGATAAAATCTTATATTATATTACTACTTTAATCTTAAATCTAGAAGCAATAAGTTCATCAGAGTGATCAAGCCATGCCTTCATCATATGAGTAATCTTAAATCTAGAAATAATAAGTTCATTAGAGTGATTAAGCCTTCATCATATAAAGGCCTAATATTATCGTTAATTAATTCCATCATGCATACATATTATTACCATAATACCTTAAGTGTTTTAAATTAATTCTTCATCAATTTATATTAAAATTCTAACCTAACAGTTAAAGATTAAAATCACTATGGATCTTTCTTTCTACTGAAAATAATGAGAATAACAAAAGATTAAAAAAGAATGAAAAAGGAAAAGCATAATAAATGTCTATATTGATACCTTTAAAGGATCTCTTCTTGAACTTTGATAAATTCCAGTATTAAAATTTTGAAATCGTCTTAAAAATTCATTGAATGAAATACTACACGACATTTTATATTATAATATCATTTGTAATCCATTTCAATGATATAATTCTTTTGATGCTTATCAATAATTAATCTACATTGTTCTCTTTCATTTTATTAAAAAAGCGAAATATTTTTCTTTCAACAAATTTAACTGAAGACAAAACACAAATGATTTAGTACGTGATTTATCTAATATCATTTGTAATCCATTTCAATGATATAATTCATTTGATGCTTATCAATAATTAATCTACATTGTTCTCTTTTATTTTATCAAAAAAGAAATGTTTTTCCTTCAACAAATTTAACAAAAGACATAACATAAATGACGTAATACGTGATTTATGTAATATCATTTGTAATCCATTTCAATGATATGTTTTTGTTGTTCTTTTCTTTTCATTATTTTTCAATCATTACACATACACACACACACGCACACACACACACACACACACACACACGTATAATTTAAATTTGATGGAAAGAATTTGAATAATTTTTGAGTCATTGAAAAGATATTAATTGAAATGTGAAAATAAAGAAGTTTGAATTATTTCAACAAAAAATTTATTTTCTGAGCATTTCATTAATAATATCACAAATTCAATTTCGATAAATATTCATATGAACAAAAGACAGAAATGAAATGTTGTAATTGTAAATGAATGAAATTTGAAGAATGAATTAGCTTATAGAATGATATTATCATAATCATTAGCTTATAGCTTATAGAATGATATAATTAGCTTATAGAATGATATAATCATGATATTAATCAATGATATTATGATATTATCAGTTCACTCAATGATATTATCAAAACAGTTCACACGATACAAAATGATATTATCAAAATAGTTCATAGCGGATGGAATTAGTTAAATTATTGTATTATAAAATAAAGCAGTCTATGGTATGTATCACAGGTGACGGAATTAGTTAAATTATTTATACCATAAAATAGATCATTTTTCAAAGAGATGTAGAGAATCAGTTACATTATTTATACTATAAAATAGATCATTTTAAAGAGTTAAATATTTGATGATAAAAATATTCATTTTATGATTAAAATTCTAAAGATAATTAAACATTTGTATTTCGTACAGTAAAACTGTAGAAAAATGATAAAGGCAATATTGGAAAAGATTAAAAAATTTCTAAATTTCTTTAGAGAATACTAAAAAATTTGAAATATTTTTAGAGATTGAAGAATTTTGTTTCATAATTTAATTTGATTTCAATTTAAAATAATAGGAATTATTGATTTATATTTTAATATTAATTTAATCCTAAAAATTACAATATTAAAAAAAATGAAATTTAGAAAGATTGATAAATAAATAATTTCAATTTTTAACAATCATCTCTTCTTCCTCACCAAAAACAAAAAACAACGAAATAGAAATAAAAGTTTCGAAGAAGTTAAATTGATAAGAATTTTATTTTCAATCATCTTTATCCTTATTAATTTCATATATCATAATGATAAAATACGTACACATTATTATGTATTCCGGAAATGATCAATGTATTCCGGAATAAGAATTAATAAGAAATCACATATGAATATGATGAAATGTATCGAAGAATTAACAATTATGCGTAATTTTAGTTCGTTCACTTTTATCACTTCTATTATCAACACTTCGTAGAGTTGTTTGCCGACGAATTCTCATAAATGGATAAGTACTCTCAGTTGTCAACAATTCATTGTGATTACAACGAAATATAGCGCTAAAAAACAAAAGTGCTATAAATTTTTAACAATTAGTGAAATTTCATTTGAAATGATTTCGTATTAATTTTCTAATTAATTATTTTAAAACAATCAATCTTTAAATTACCTGTAAAATTTACATTACAAAATTTGATATTGTAATTTTGAAAAAAAAAAATTTAATAATTTTAAAATTAAAAATTTAATGAAATACGTTTTGAAAGCGCTTCGAAATTCATGCATCCGAAAATAACAAAGTGGTTGTAAGAGTGTATTCAAACACATTAGCGTTTGAAAAACCCATCGTAAATAATACATAGCCGTACGTGAGATACCCAAACGTGAACTTAATTAATATCAATAATTATATGACAACTTTAATTAATTCGAGACAATAAGAATATTTTATTTTTATATAAATGATAATATCTACTGAAAACCTCTTCCTAACTTCAATTTATTTTCAATAACTCTAATAATATCAATTTCGCAAATAATACGTAGCCGTACGTGAGATATCCAAACGTGAACTTAATTATTATCAATAATTATATAATAATTTTAATTAATTCGAGATAATAAGAATATTTTAGTTTTAATTAAATGATAATATCTACTGAAAATTTCTTCCTAATTTTAATTAATGCAATGACTTCAATAATTCTAATAATATCAATTTCGAAAATAATACGTAGCCGTACGTGAGATACCCAAACATGGACATAATTAATATTAATAATTTTATTATAATATTAATTAATTCGAGATAATATTTTTAATATCTGCTGAAAATTTCTTCCTAATTTTAATTTATGCAATGTTTTCAATAATTTCTTCTAATAATATCATTTTGTTTAAAAAAATATTTAAATGTTATATTTTAAAATTAATTAGAAAAAATAATAATTAAAAGTGTGAACCTTTGTAGCCTACTAACAAATAAAAATTTAATAGCTGAGTATGAAATGAGATAAACAGTATAGATAGCCAAAACACTGCCAATTACAAGAACATGCTTGTTTCGTTTTCGTAATTGCTTCTTTGTTCGATTAAATTCACCTAAAATTAAATGAATGAAAAACAATTATTTTCTATTAACTATTTATGTATATAATAGAAAAGAAGAAAATCAAACATTTCTATTTTTGCAAAAATTATTTATACTAATATTAAATAAAGATATTAGTGAACTATAAAATATTTTAATGATAAAATTACATGAAATAGAATATAAAATAAAATTTTTGTAAAAATTTTTTATATAATTAGCTTTCTTTTTAATTATTTGATTTGAATTTTTTAATCTTTAATATAATTACATATATTCCTAAAGTACAATAATATTTTTACTTCAACTTATTTATAAATGAAAAATCATTTTATTAAAAATAAATATTATAGTTTATAATTTACTTACCATTTATACTATTATTAGTTTGACAATCACTGTCAATTGATACCTGTAATTAATAAAATTTTTTTTGTTTCAATCATACAAACAATAAATTTATAAAATTATCAATAAGAATAAATAAATTATTTCGAAGAAAGTTAATAAATTAAAACTGAATTTTTTGCAAACTAAATTAAATTTGATAATTATTTTAATTGCATATATTGCTAATTAATACAAAACAAAACATACCGGTATATCACTTTTGATAATTTTTGAAATTACACGAATTAATACACTATAGCATGCAATTGATATGGATAAGCATATAAAACAAAATATAATAATGGATATATTATAAATATATTCGGTATTATTTGATGTTTGACTTTTACGTACGAAACATGCTGTAAATTTAAAAATAAAATTTAAATTTAAAAAATACTTTTTACCTTTAAATAAAATTGTTTATGTTTATTTTTCTTTTTGCTAATTTATTTTCTTTTTTTATTATCCGATCCCTTCTATACATTTGTTATTGTTTATTTAATCAATAAGATTGTAGAAGAAAACAAAACAAAACAAAAATAGAAAACAAGTATAAATAAATGATAACAATTCTTACACGGTGGTAAACGCCATGTATACGAAGTACCATCTGTTTTTGTTGTTGCTGCTATTGTTGTTGTTGTTGTTGTTGTTGTTGTTGTCGTTGTTGTTGTTGTTGTTGCTGTTGTTGTTGCTGTTGCTGTTCCTATTGCTGAAAATTTAAATTTGTCAGAAATAAAATAATGATTAATTTGTTTTAATTAAAGGTGATCGAAATTAGTAAATAATTAGAGTATATTATTTCATAGGAAGTAAATTCAATTTTCCTCTTCATTTTCTTTCTTTCCGTTTTTTGAGTTAATTAATTGAATACACTTATTTCGCTCTTTCTGAAATATCAATTAAAACAGAATTTAAATTATTTCTCACATAAAATACATTCAGGTAGATTTATCATTTCAAAATTAATTATTTTATTTCATTTAATTATTTTGTTAAAATGCAATCATGCTTTATATATGTACATAATTTAATCAAGTTTATTGTTTCTGCTTAATTGTTGAACTAAAATTCAAATTATTGTATTAATGTAAACTTAAGATCATTATTTATACTGTTACTTAACTTATATATATCTATATAATTTAATTTGAATTCATCGTTTTGTTTAATTCTTGAATTAAAATTCAAATACAATGAATTGGGAAAACTTACGATCATTATTCACACTATTACTGAACTTTATATATATAATTAAATTAAGTTCATTGTTTTGTTTAATTCCCGAACTAAAATTCGAATTATTCTACAAAGAAAATTTGCAATCATTATTCATACTGTTTTTAACTTATACATAGTTAAATTAAGTTTATCGTTTTGTTTAATTCTTGAATTAACATTCAAATTGTTGTGCAGTGTAAACTTAAGACAATTATATACAATGTTACTTAACTTATATAGATATAATTTAAAACTTACAATCATTAAATTATTACTGAATTTATATATATATAATTTAATTAAGTTCATGGTTTCCGTTTAATTCCTGAACTAAATTTCAAATTATTCTACAAAGAAAACTTACGATCATTATTCATACTGTTATTTAGATTATATATATATAATTATCCATACTATTATTCAGATTATATATTATTCAGATTATACATATAATCAAATTAAATTTATCGCATTGTTTAATTCTTAAATTAAAATTTAAATTATTATACAACGAATTGGGAAAACTTACGATCATTATTCATACTATTACTCAAATATTTTCGTTTCATTAAACAATTCGGTTTAATATAAATTGATTGCTTTCGTGAGCCAATGAATAAAATTGATAGCGTAAATCCCCAAGCTACTATCCAACAAATTGCAATTAACAATGCTACCCTTGTGCTGTAAATTTATTATTTTAAAAACAAAATCTAAATGTTATAAGAATTTTAAATTTAACACATTTCTCATCTTCTATTAATTAATTAATTAATTTAATTAATTTTAATATTGTTAACAATATTTCAAATTAAATAAGCTATATTGCTGATAAATTTTGCATGCTAAAAATTACTTCAAATGTTTTTCCTTAATGAATATATAAATTTGAAAACAATAAAAGATTAGTTATGTTAGTATAATTATTTTCAAATTGTCCATGTTAGTCTAATATATCTCTATAGTATGCTATATAGTTAATTATCTAATTTGGAAACAAAAATATATATCTACAGTAAGCTTATAATTAATTATATAATTTGAAAATAAAAAGAATACATCTCTACAGTAAGCCAATAATTAATTATATAATTTGAAAACAAAAAATATACTTCTACAGTAAGCCAATAATTAATTATATAATTTGAAAGAAAGCAATGAAAAAGGAAATATATCTATACAGTAAGCTATGCAACTAATTATGGTACATTTGGTTTATTAAATTGGCAAAGCTTACTTACTACGATCATCTTTTACAGTAGTTGAAAGTAGAAAAAAGAATTGAAAAATAGGCTACTATTAACTTTGTAACAAGTCGACGATATTGAAATGGATAGATAATGTAAATGAATTCGTTAAGTGTAAGTATTAGCAAATTTAAAATAGTTGCCAAATTTGCAAAACGTAAAATCATTAGAGCAAATTGATCAGCTTTCATAAAATACATCGAAGTACTGATATCCGCTGGTAACATCTTTAATGCCCATATTACTGAGCATGTACCTAAAAATTGTTATAATACAATAATTCTATTGTCATAAAATTTGAGTGTAATATTATTATTTATACGACCGATAGTATATTTAATTAATACTAATTAACAAAATTAACAAAATTCTAATTAACAAAATTTTCATTAAATCTAATCTGTTAAATCTAATCTGATAAAATTTCATCAAATTATTAAAAATTTCTATCATTCCATTTATTTGAAATATTTTAATAAAATTTAATTTACAATAAATTTTTTTAAAACACTAAAAAAATTTTTCATCATTTCTGCCTGTTAAACCTGTTAAAAAATTACCTGTTAACTGTTAAAAAAAACAATTAATTCATTATACAGCTTACTTTTAAGGAGATCAAAGATTGCAAAATTGAAGATAAGCAAATAGAAAACATGTGACAATATATTCCGCTTTAAATGACAAAGTGTTATCATGATAGTAACATTGAAAATAAACGCTGCTACACCACATCCGATAAATATTGTACCAAAAATATGTGCACCTCGTATTGGTGGTACCCATAAGGTAATTGATGATGATGATGATGATGTTCTACAAAAACGATTTTAAATCAATAAAAAAATTTAACAATATTAAAATTTAGCAGTTAGAACAGAATTATCAATAAATGATAAATATCACGTAAAAAAAATCGATAAATTGACTTCTAACAATTTGAATTAAATTTTAAAACTTATTAATTAAATTCTATTCAAAACGTGGTTTTCGCTTCTTTTTAAATTTTGCACATAATTTTAATCATTATTATTCATTATTCATTATCGTTATTATCACTATTATTATAATTAGAATAAAAAGTTTCATGCAATTTGATAGAGATATTATGATAATTGAAATAGGATGAAAGAGAATAAATTTTGCTAAAAAGAAGTTTGATAAAAAAAACGGAAATTATAAAATGAAGAAATTTCATACTTATTCATTGCTAGAATTGAATTGTTGAAAAATTGCGTTGACATTTAGGATTTGATAAATTCAAACGATTGGCATTTTTTTATTGAAATTTTCAAAAATTGATAAATGACCTGAAATTGAAAATACTAAAATTACTTGAAATATATAACAGCAAGAAAAGAAAATAATTATTTTTCATTTATTTATTTTATTTGTTTTCTTTATCACAAAAAATTAGAAGGTAAAATATTAAGCGTTAATTTATTATCATATATGATAAAATATTAAGCGTTAATTTATTATCATATATGATAAAATATTAAGCATTAATTTATTATCATGTATGATAAAATATTAAGCGTTAATTTATTATCATATATGATAAAATATTAAGCATTAATTTATTATCATGTATGATTGAATTTAAGAAAAAGTTTTTTTAACAAGCTTACTGCGGAATATTGAAAATTGTTGTTGTTGTTGTAGAAGATAAAAGAATAATCAATATGAAGCTGAATAAACGAATCATAATCTCCTAATCGATATATTTAATTATAATATATTTATCTAAAATTAAATTTTTAAGGTTTAGGATGAATGAAACATTTGGTTCGCAATCTCCTGAACATAGTTAATATTTTAAGTAAAAATTCTTTGTGAGTTAATATCTTAGGTAATAACATATTCATCTTAAGTTAATTCTACGTTTTATGATGAATAGCGATTTGATTCAAATTTTGAAAATAATTTTTGCAATAAAAATTAACTTACAAAAAAATTGTTAACAAATTCAATTGGAAAATACTGTGAAATGAAAATTACAACTCGATTTAACATATTGGAAATTAAAAAAATGCGTGAAATGATAATTACAATATTGGAAATGATAAAGAACGAGAATATTGGAAATGAAAAAATTCAAAACACGGAGTAATTGATATATATATTTACAATATTGGAAATAATTAGAATATTGGAAATGATAAAGAATGAGAATATTGGAAATGAAAAAATCCAAAACTTGAATCATAATTAATATAATCATTTCACTCAGTTGTAATTAATATAATATATATTAAAAGAATTTAAATATAAACTAATAGGTAATTAAAATATAATTGATATATTTTAAATAGAATAATAAAGTTTAACATTATAGACAAAAAAATTAAACAAAAATTGTCCATATTAGAATAATATTCAAACCTATTGTTTCAAATATTAAAATTAATTTTTTTCAATTTTTAAGAATTTCTAAAACAAAAATTTGATGAATGAAAAAGTATCGGATCAATTTTCATTGAAATAATTATTATACATACGAGCTATCAATGCAATATTTTGAAACGAGTGAAAACGAATGGATTAAATGAAAGCAAAATTAATTACAAAAATTAATTACTGGCACGAAGCAATGAAAAAAAAAAAGATACGATAGATTAGTAAAAACAAAATAGAAAAATGAATTAATTATTTCTACACATTGCTTTGAAGAAAAAGCTAATTTCAAAATTTGAAATTCAAATTCAAACCATTTCAAAATTTTAATTTAAAACAATGAAATAATTTTAAAAATTGAATTTAATTTTTTTTTAAATTAAACATTCTTATGGATCAAATCAAATTGGCGAAAGTTAAGTATTTCAGAAATTAAAAAAAGGTAAATAAATAAATAAATATTGGAAAGAACGAAAGAGCTAATTCATTTGCAAATCATTTGTACTGTACAACATTTTAATAAAAGCAATAATATATTCCGTCGATTAAAATATAATCAATATAAAATATCACTATAAAAATGCGATTAATATGAAATATCACTATTTAAAAAAATACTATAAAAAAGAAATTTATATAAAATATTACTGTAGAAATACAATCAATATAAAATATCACTATAAAAATGCAATCAATATGAAATATTACTGTGAAAATACTATAAAAAATACAGTCAATATAAAATATCATTATAAAAAATACTATAAAAACACAGTCAATATAAAATATGACTATCAAAATATAATCAATATAAAACATCACTATAATTAATATATCACTATAAAAATTCTGTAAAAATACAATCAATATAAAATATCACTATAAAAAAATACTATAGAAGTGCAATTAATACAAAATATTACAATAAAAATTAAGTCAACATAAAATATCACTATAAAAAAAAAATATAATCAATATAAACATCACT